ATGTGCAAAAGTGACGGCACTCGCTTTTCTCACAACAGCCGTTACCAGAATATGCAGGATTAGATTAGGGCTGCAGCTAATTGTTGCTAATTCAAATGTCAATAATTTCTTTAGATTAATTGATTAATTATTGGATAGCCAATGACTACTTAAAGAAGACTTTTTAATAATTTAATTAATAGATCAAACTCAAGCTTTTTCACTTCTGGAGTTCTGGATAGAGCAGACTGACAGACATTTTTTTTCTATCTTAACTTTTTTTTTAACATTCTTGGTATACAGCAGTAACTGCTCGCTCTGTCAGCTAAAGAGTCTCTGTTCTCTAGTAAATGATTAATCAATTACTACATTAGTTGATGATTATTAATTATCAATTGATCACAATAAATCTGATTAATTGTTTCAGAGTCATGGATCTAATGCTTAAAGGTACACAGTCACATTATATACCTTCACTAAAAAGACCAATTGCCAGTTAAATTATGGTAAAATAAGGCTTTATACTTTATATTTTCTGTCCTGATGGTGTTTTATCGACCTTTTCAGCCTAAATAGAACCTCAGCACTGGGCGCAATGAGCTGGCATAGGCAGATGTAGCACCCTCTACTGGCAGCACGGCTGAACTACCACACAACTAATTGTAACTCCTCGTGGAAAACTAGCAGCTCGGGGAGTTAAGGTTAAAAGCATTGCTAACACCAGTAGCTCTGTTAGCTAGGACATTAACTTCATAGAGACATCAGAATGCTTCCTGAGCTTTAGGACTCTAACAGTCCAACTGTTTCCCCAGCGCTGCTTAAAGGGAGAGAGTGAACATATTCTCATTATGAGTGCGTATGAAATCGTACGAAAAGTTATGCACACTATTTCGTACGTTTTGGACGTTTTTCCTCAAAAAACCACATCAGTGCGCATGCGCTGGCAGACAGAAAAAAAAAGCAGATCCGCGGAAGGACGTAAAAATGGGAAAAACAGTGCAATCATCACTTATTCATGTCTCTAACTACGTCGCTTGCTGTTTTATATCTTAGGGTTAGGGTCAGAGTTAGGGCTAATTGTCATTTATATTCTAGATTCGTAAATGGTGCGTCAGATGCGCATACGACGAAAAAAACGTACGAAACATACGAAATTACGGTGCATAACTTTTAGTACGATTTCATACGCACTCATAATGAGAGTTAGCCTGGGTGCCATTCCGAACTTAGTCCCGCCCACAAAGTTTGAGGTCGGGGAAGTTCGGTCTGGCTCTGCTCCATAGTAGCGCGAGTATTATCGCCCACTGTC